GGTTCAGCCTCAGATCAATCCATATCCTGTGCTCTAATGAGTATTTGGAGCAGCAGGACAGTGTATGTGGGGTTGAGTTAAAATAAGCTACAGTGTGTTCATGTAATGAAGGATCATGTCACCCGGTGCAACAGTGTGACTCACTGATGTGTTTTAATAGTTTCTGAACAACAGTGGAGCTCGATAGCACAGAGGAATAAGATACTGTATATCAGGCCGTGATGCACATACAGCACCTGGTAGTAGGATGCATACATACAACTGTTGACAAAAACTTGTCCTTAATATTTCCTGGAGCATTATTTTGATATACCTAATAAAAATGATATTGCTTGAATGGTGAATCCCAATAACTGTGCCACACATATGCAGCCCTCATCACAAGCTCACCCTCTGGTCTCTGGCCCTTTCTTTGAAGGAGGACCATTAAAAAATCATGACCGGGGCCCTCTGAAGGGCCGCAGGGACCCTGATGAGCCCTTTTACTGTTCACCATTTAATCTTCTTCTTATGTCTGTGTTATATCTGTTGCCTTTTTTCTTTTAATTGTGAAGCGCTTTGTGATGTCTGCTCTTAAAGGTGTGATATTAAAAAACATTCACTACATCACAAATGGCCTTTTAATGTGGAAATACTCAAAAGGGAACAAGGGACAGCTGATGTTATTTTCTACTGAGGCTTCTGAGGCACATAAATAAAAGATACATAAACAAAGTGCTGTCTTTAAAAGGCTCTGCACACCCAGGCTAATTAGACTGCTCAGGTTGAAGGTGGGTGGAGCTGTGGTGGGAATTATAAGGTCACCAGGCTCAGCGTACCAAATGTCTGCAGAAATCTAACTTCTCCCACTCTGGCAGGTTCTGAAAAGCTGACAGCCTACACATGCCCATACAGTCACGAGAACAGATCAAATAAGTCAAAGTAAGTGTTGTCAGGACTGAAAATTGTCTAAATTAATTCCAGCACTTGAAACCATCTGTATCACATTGGCAAACGTCAGTGGAAAAAGGCAAATTCCTCACTGTGAGTGAAGTGACAGTAAACTCAGCACATATAAGAGGCTCTTGAGAGGATTCAAGTCAAACATTGGGGCTAAAATAAACATGCAGGGTCTAAAAGCAGCTGTTCCCCAAAAGAAATGGTGCAGTGTGAAGTCCCAGTTTGGAGAGAAGATGCCGATAATGGCAGAGCAGTGGTCTGAAGGTCAAGTGCCTTTAGTAAAACAATAGTGACAGTGTATTACGACCACAGCAAGAGGATGAGCCAAGATTTCCTGCCCTCTTGCCAAAGTGACTGGCGAGTTTTAAAGACACCAGGAGATCCTTAACTTTAAATGATCATTAATACTGAAATGAAACTATGTTCACAAGAAACTTCACAAGAAAGCACCGGACTACACATTGTTGTATGTGCATGAATTAAATGAAAACAAAGAATCAACACTTGCAGACACAGCCTGAAACCCACGTATCAAGCCCCTCACACAGCCAGCCCTCAGCTCATGCAATTGAATTATCTTACAGTTTCCTCCCACTTTTTTCTTTGTGGCCTTGCTTTTGAGAAAATTCCACACAATTAGCAGGCCACATCAGCAAGAACCTTAGCCTTTTTCTTTCTGCTGCACTCATTTCCTGTCCACTTGACAACATAATCTTCATCCTGACCCTGCTCCAGACATCTGAGTCACATACCACGGCACAGCACTTCACATCAGCTCGAGATTTATTATGGACTCTGAGCCCAGAATGCACTGGAATAAGCCTGATGTGTGGGTGTGTTTGTGTGTCAAAGAGATGATGACGTGTGCGTCCTTGGAAGGGTGAGGGGTAAGTGCATGTAGACAGTTTAATAGAAAATGAACAGGTTCACACTGAAGCTACAGAAACCTGTTAACCTGATGTTATACTGGTAGCAGCTAATGCTGATGTATTACCTACGTGTCACCAGATTCCAACCCAAATATCAAATCTGGGCAGAAAAATCTGTCAAGAGCCTTTAAACTGGCCAGAAATTGAACTCAGCCTTCTAAAAGTACATGCAGATAAAAAACTGAAACGCTCCTGAATCTAACAGGCTAGTTCCTGGCATAACGTCAGCTGTAGTTTGTTACTAATCTCATCAGCGCCTCAGGAGAAGGCCATCTGTCTACAGCGGTCAATTAGCTGAAAAGCAAACCACAGCTTAGTATCCTGGCAATGGCCATGTACACTGGGGGAACTGACTTAGACAGGAAAACACAAAGAGAAGTTACTGATGTTGTTATAGGCACCGGGCCATTTAGTCACTGATGAGGTAGAGATTACTTGAGGTTTGCACGTTTCTAGACCTGCATCAATTACAGGCTTCCTACTTCAGGTGTTCAACTTCTCCACACAGACTCGTCTCCTCGTTACCACAATGGTTCTTTTAGCAGTTAATCCTTCTCATCTGGTTTTATCAGCAGGAGGTTACTGTCCCATCACACACTGCACTGTATACAACTCACCTGTCGCTCACGCAGACCCTGTGTGTACGACTGCATATGAATCGGATCCACCTGGGTCAACAACTGAATCGGTTCATCCTGAAGACGTAATGAACTAGATACCTGCTCACGTTGCTGTGGCTCAACCAGTGCCCCCCCCCACACAGCAGCCAGTGGAGCTGAACGGTCTTACCGATGCCGGTCTCTGGCATGGCAAACAGCGTCTTCTCAGTGGCCACTCGAAACCGTCCATGAACCGACAGACCTACGCCCTGTAGGTGGAGGAGGACATGGGTTATGAACTAATGAACGCTATGATGGAAAAGAGGAGAAAACAATGGTGAAAAAATACACAGAGGGGGAACTTTAATCAGCACACAGCTGAAATTCATGATGAGCCATCAACCTGAAAACAGCAGAACGTTGTCCATTGTGAAATGACAGAAAGGAGAAAAAAGAAAAAGACTAATTGTCTTTTAGCAATGATCACTGGATGGACCCAGACCCAGTGAGGGACTGTTCAATCTCGCATTACCCACGTTTCTCCATAAAAGTAGTGGAACATTGTTACGTGCAGCGTGGTACCACCAAGCACCATATAAGAACGTGTCTCCAGGTCCTGCTGTAAACAATAGAAATGTGCAAAAGTGTGCAGAGCAGCATGTTTATAGCTCATGCCTACAAACAGAATAGACTGCAAAATTTACAACCCAGCAGGCACAGTTAATGCTGACTAAGAATGTGAAGAGGTTCAGAAAGCCCTCATTAGGACATTTGATTTGCCCAATATAAACCAAATATTGATACAACAGGAGGTAAAATTCATTGAAATTACACACTGTAGTTACATCACTCTCCACATCTCTCCAGTGTTCCACCTTTGCAGAGGAGCCAAGTTATGCAAACTCAGAAATTAACAGCTGACACTTTGTATTGAGGTAGAAAAGTCTTTGTTACTGTGAAAAAAACAACAAACGACGAAGAAAGAGAAAGTCATGTCTGACTGAAAAAGCTAAATATCCATGTGACATTACTTTGCACATCATGCTTTCAAAACAAGCACTGCTTAGGGCTGTGAAAGATGAAAAACATAATGCAGGGATCCAAATGTGCCCAGAGGTCCTTTCTGGCTCTCACTGTTGTCTTCTTATTAGGCAGAGTGGACATTAGCAAATAAGAGCTGTGTTTTCCAGGACAAAGAGATTACACTCTTGCAGCTCTGAACAAATATTCATCAACTGAGCAGCAAACACGACCCGCCCTTGTCAAACTGCCTTACACTCAATGTCAGAAGCCTTCTGTCAGACTATGTAAATGTTTGAAACTTGAAGAGCAAACTAAAACCTGCTGAAAAGAGGATGGTGTCTGCTCAAATGCTTTAGCATTCACACGTCTTAATTCAAGGGACTTTAAACTTTGAGAAAAATGAATGATGTGAATGAGATGAGGTCCCTCTGAAGCAAGAGGGAGACGAACAAATCGACCAGCTGATGACACACCTTCTCTCCCTGTTGGCTTGTTATCACTAATGCAGCCGCACTCGTTCGACGTGGGAGTTCTACTCCAAGCTCAGAGCTGATCTGGGAACAGGGCCTCCGGTGCTTCGTAGACTTTTCCATATATAGAGCTAACCTGTTTTCAACCACCACACACAGGAATACCCTGACGACAGTTTGCATCAACATGTCTTATCTGCGTTGATAAGACAGATAGGAGAGGTAGACTTCAAATCACTTTGCTCTCAGAACCAGTCTCTGTCTTAAAGTTTGACATTATATTTCTTGATATTATAGGCAAAGCTGGTGTCTGCTTCTAAGCCAGGTACTTGCCTCCTTGATCCTCTACGAGCTAAACTTTTCAAAGATCTCTGACCAGTTGTGGGGCCTACAATTATACATTTTGTTAACGTATTACGTAAAACTGGCATGGTCCCTTCTTGCTTTAAAACGGCTGTGGTTAAACCCCTACTTAAAAAAACACACTTTGATGCAGAGTCTCTGAATAATTATGTGCTGTATCTAACTTTCCATTCTTCCATCGGCCATCCTGGGACCCCTCTCCCCTCTGGCTGCGGGTGCCTGTTCAGATGATTGGATCTGGATCCTCATCCTTCAGAAGTCCAGGTGTTACAGTGAAATCTCTGACCTGTCAGATGTTATGACCACAGGGGCACTGTTGCACATTTTTATCATTTGTTGTGTCGACAGTGAGCCAGAAGAAGAGCGTGTATGTAAACGGTGTAAGTCAAAATGGGATACACCTCCAAAGGTGGTTGAGAATGACCAAGCTAAGATCCTGTGGGACTTCAAGATACAAACTGGTCATGACCGACCAACCAACCGGACATAGTAGAGGTGGACAAACAGAAGAAGAAGGCCGTAGTGATAGATGTAGCAATCCCAAGCGATAGCAACATCAGGAAGAAGGAACATGAGAAGCTTGAGAAATACCAAGGGCTGAAAGAGGAGCTAGAAAAGATGTGGAAGGTGAAGGCACAAGTGGTCCCTGTGGTAATAGGAACAGTGGGGGCTGTGACCCCCAAACTGGGAGAGTGGCTCCAACAGATCCCAGGAACAACATCTGAGATCTCTGTCCAGAAGAGTGCATTTAAGATATTGCACAGGACCCTCAAGCTCCCAGGCCTCTGGTAGAGGACCCGAGCTTGAAGGAAGGAATACAAGGCCGCCCCAAAGTGGGGGGCGAGTGGGGAATTTTTTAAATATATATACATGTGTGTATATAGTCAAGGTCACAACAGAGGAGATGCAATGAAAGGTATAGACCCATCTAAAAGCCTGAGATCTTCTCCAACCAGGTGAGTTAAACAATATCAAGAAATGACAGAACTTTAAGATCAGAGTCAGTCTTTGCCTTTGTGCACCTCTGTCTGAATTATGACTCATCAGAGGTATTATGGGGCAAAGGTACCGGCTCAAATTCCAACAATATCTATCACAGAAAAAACTGTGGCGGCAACAATGCTTTGTCACTTTATATTTCATCCTGTCAGAGGCAGAAGGTAACAGCAGTAGATAATTCTCTACTGACACCTACTGGGAAACTTTAATACTTTTATACACTGGCTGCCTCAGTCTAAAACTCAGCCAAAATATTTGATGAATCTTTGATACTCAGAAACCAGAACAAAGTCTTTTCAGTGCCTCAAATGATCAATATACCTTACCCAAAAAGAAACAGTGTAAGTTTAACCTAACAATATATTTTAAATATATCAAACCTTAATGTACTTACCCCTCCCATTGTTATTCCATCAATGAGGGCAATATATGGCTTTCTGCATGCTCCTTGAAAGATAAAATAAAACGTGTAAAAACAAGAAGAAATGTCATTTAAATTCAGTTTAAACATGTAAACTGATAAAGCAGAGATGTGAAGCCATGACTGCAAGTGAATGAAAGATCATAGGAAACAATAAAACAACAAATATGTCATAATAAAGAATAAAAAATAAAAGATTATAGCCCACACACTAATTTCTCAACAAAAATTAATTAATTAACGAGCCCATGACATGCTTTTCCTTGTTTTCTGACTTATCTACAATATCAACGGTGAATTAGCATCTTAGATGTGACCTAAAGCTCAAAAAATGAGGTGAACGTATACTCTAATATTTCTATGCAGAAGCAACTCGGTTTATACAGGTCTCGCAAATGACACTTTTTTCTAACAAAATAAAGTATTACATGAGAGTTTACAGATTTCTTTAAATGGTCATAATCTCCAGGCAGTTGAGCTTGCCTGACCTCCACTGGTACCATTGTAAAAGTGGAATATTTTGACTGCACTCGGTTTTGTGAATACATTTTTCCTCCTCCTGCTGCACTGTGACCAGAGGATGTGGAGAAAAATACAGGGTCTGAGGTTACTGCATGTCCAGGAATGTTCCTATACAGGGACTCGTTGTTTTACCTGACTGGGTCTAACCTACTAGCAGCCGGCCTGTGAAGCCCCCTGGGGCTGTGACTGATCAGCTCATCAAGGCTGGATTCCCCTGGAGCACAGTACCTGTTTGTTTTGACAGCTTGAGGCCAGTGTGTCTGCTGCATGTGATACGATGCTGGTTAATGATCCACAATGTTAATGTTGGTGCTACGCTACTTGTTGGAATTAATTTCACTACTTTTGGACGGTACGTGGTCGTGTGGAGGAAGACATAGCCGTTGGATTGACCGACCTTGGAGCTACTTGAAAGGGAGTGATGCTTCCACTGCTTGGTGGGACTTAACAGGTTTAAAAACACACACATTGCATGTCTGTTAATGCCTTGTTTCTGTAACGTTGGAGAGGATTATCATAAGGCTGGAGAAGTCAAGGTCAAAGGTCAAAGTGTTTATTTGTCATATGCACAGTTAGGAAACATGTTTCCCTGTACAATGAAATTCTTACTTTGCCGTCCACATGAATGTCACAAAATACAAATAAAATATAAAGTAGATGAGCAATAACACAAATCTAAATAGGCAGTAAAATCACAAATTTACTGGATTTACTGACCTTGGAGCTACTTGAAAGACAGTTACTATGTCTGCATTATGCCACTTAAAATATGGGGTTTCTCAACTACCCGTTTTGTTTAGAGTGTTACACATCTCTTTTCATCGGCGCATATACCGTTGTTTACCCATTTATGCAGGAGCAATTCAAATTAATTACTGCCGACAATTCACTGTGCTATTCACTTGCAACAAAACGCTGGCAACAGGAGGCGTGCGTGCTCACAAACTATCCTCTCATTTTTAGGAAGAGGCTCTCTGGTTTTATCGTTTTGAAATGATTACAGACTATTTGGAGTTATGATGGGTGCCACGCTAATCTAGAGGTACCCTGGATTAAAGATTAAATGGCTGGAAAGGAGCATAACGAGCAGCCATGGGCACTTTAAGGCATTTCTCATTGTAATCATTAAGCATACCTATGGCATTGTTGAGAATATATTCCTCACGGAAAAAGTCCTGTGCAAGAGAGCCACCGACCTTCCCTGCTTCTGTAACCGCTGAGAGGGAAAACAGATGGCAAAACAATAATGAAGTAACCTGTGTTTCTGCTACAGTCATGAGTTTGCAGATAAAAGCTCCCGATTGATTGGATCTGCACGGCTACTCTTTACCTCTGATGTCTCCGCCAGCACAGAAGGCTTTTCCACCTGCTCCTTTGATAATGATAATGTCAGTCTCATTGTCCTTCTCCCATTTCTAGAATAAAAATACAGCAAATTTAAAAGTGATCATCATCAAAAGCTGACACCTGATTATGTACTGATGAGTTTTCAGTTTAGATATTCAAAGCAGAAGTTCAGAGAACCACAGCTATTCAAAACAATTTATGTAATACTGAGACCAATGTCCCATTTTAGTGTCCTGAACCATGACCTTTAACGGATTGTAGGTTTGCAAAACTAAACAAGCAAGTGGATGGTTGGATTTTTAGAACCATAAGTGATACAACAGTTGTGTCCTCCAAATGCCAGGAAGGTTGGAGTGATTACTGGATGGAAGGGATGTATTATTAGAAACATATTAATGTGCTTTCTGAACCAACCACATCAAATCTAATTATTGTTTTTCATTAGGTAGAAGTAGTTACATTCTGTAAACTGTTCCATAAGTATAGAAGCTTAGGGTAAATAGTCTAAAAGACTTTTGTACAGAAGACAAGTGTTTGAAGAGATTTAGAGCTGCAACAACTAATTGATAAAAATCAATAATAAAAGTAGTTGGCAACAAATTTAATTAGCACCTAGTTGGGTCTAGTCATGTAGCTGTGTATGATGGCTGGTCAGCGACTACGTCAGTGAGGCGTATCAAAACATTTGCAAAGGTTTTTTGATTTTGTTAACACTGTAACGACCTGTGCACTTTATAAAAGCTTGTTCTTGAACAAATAACAATGCACTGCATAGGAACAATGCAGAAGCATTGTTTAAATGAATGCATTGTTATTTTTTTATTATGTGGAAAATGTCTGCATGATTTTTATGCATCTGCTTAAATGATTAATCATAGAAATAATCGAGAGATTAATAGATTATACAAATAATCATTAGTTGCAGCCCTAAATATAGATTTAGGAGAAAATATGTTAATAACATCGAGACCTTGGCAACACCCGCCTACTAGCTTTCTTCACACCTTGAGCTGAGGGTAGATCTGTCGGATCATGCTCAGGTTGAGGGCATTCAGGACTTTGGGTCTGTTCATGGTGATCATGCCGGTTCTGCCCACTTTCTCCAGGAGAACCTCTGGGTTCGTCTGACTGCACATCTGAAGAAAACAGGGACATTGGGCATCATCTACTGTGCTGAATAGAGTTAAGAAATGTCTAACACAGACAAACTAGAGTGACCTACAACACAAGTAAATTAAAGTAAAATCATGATTTGTTTCCATATGTAAAATCAGCATCAGCACACAACGTCAAACATGTTTTTGTAACACACACCATTACAGGTCTACTACTTGGGCATCATCTACTGTGCTGAATAGAATTAAGAAATGCCTAACATAGACAAAATAGAGTAAATTAAAATAAAATTATGATTTGTTTCCCATATGTAAAATCAGCACACAACATCAAACATGTTTTGTAACACACAGCAATACACACTCACAGTACGTGAGTGAACCCAGGTCCAACACTGGCTCCCTGCAGAGATGTGTCAACACACTGGCCTGTTATCACACTAAGCTTAAATCTACTTTACTTTAGAAGCAATACAGGTTTAGTAACCTTTTTCTTCACAGCCATGTTTGTGACAAGCTGAAACTACAATTCCAACTTGTAGTTGAATAGTTGTTACCCAACAGCAGTTACCACATTCAATGCTGCTAAAATATAATATGGCTGTGTGAGAGGTCTGTTGTTAAGTTTTTTTATGGTCTTATTCCATATTTTCTATTGCTGTACCGACTGGAGGTCACTCTAAAATGTCGTTGTACGTGTTACAATGACAATAATGGATTATCTATCAATCTATTTTATATAAATGGCAATATATTCTGAGCACAACAGCGGACTACACCGTACTGGTTAAGCTACAAACGTCTCACTTCGCACCTACCTGTATGTGGATGTCAAAGTTGTTAAGGACATTATTATTATTATTATTATTTCCCACTTGTGTCGTTCTGCCAATCGCTGCACTTTGGCGTACAGCTCACTTTTCCTCCTCTCTCCTCTGAAAGGTTTCGCGTTTACTTCCTGGAGGAGGTAAAGAGCCATTCCTGATTGGTCGATGCTGATGACGCAACGGTCCGCGTGTGTATATATCGAGTCGGTGTTTCTGTCACACTGACACCTACTTTAGTGGAGGGAGGAGGGTGATTCTTATGATCTTAAATTATAGGACACATCCATGTGTCATTAGAAACGCGAAAAAAAAAAAATTCAAATTTCAAATTTGAGTTTGAACTTTATTTGCCCATGCTTTTTATTGACAGCTGTAGATTCCAGCCATAACTATATATATTTTTTACTTTAGATTAAGCAAAGTAATTAAAACTAGACAAATGCATTTCCTATCGAAAGTGCGTGTGGATGCTGATGTGCTGAAGGCTCGCCCTGAAAATGCCTGAAATCAATTGCTGAAAGAGCTGAATGATGAGAAGAAATGGCTGAAGTTCTTTGTTGAAAAAGTGGAAGGTTGAGATGAACAGAATGACGGTGCACATGTCACTAAGCTTGGACACAAAAATGGACAATGAAACAATTGGAAGGAACAGTTATCGCAGGGCATCGAGTGCAGCTGACAATCTAGTGTACATAGATATTTTGTGTGTGTGTGTCTTACTGTAAAAGTAGCAGGTGCATCATTAAGTGACTCAGCAGTTTGAGGACACTACAGCAGATTTCAGTCAAATATGGGCTTTGAACAATTGACAACTATACATCCTATTGAAAAA